CATAGACTAGCTTTTGAGTTTTGGTGGGCGGGACAGTTAGGGAGGCGTCAGAACTGCGAGTTCTGTGGGCCACAGCGCATCTGTTATTTATGCGCAGTCCTATGATCGCGGGTGTTGTCTCCGGGGCGAGTGAGTCACTTTCCTAATTTCCTTCTAAACATGGTTGTCGGGAGCCTCTTGCGTTTTTGATCATGCTCGTCTTATGTAGCAAGTGCTCAACGGCTGTTTGACAAATATTGTGACGGTCAGCACTTCCTCATGACAACCGAGATATCGATCACTTCGTAGGGTATGTGAGAAAAAACACTTCAGAACCCAAAAATACTTCTAGTTTTCTTAAACGTTCAGTACTTGTAAGCTTATTTGACATTGTGATTTTCCTGTGAATATGCAAAAAAATGCTGGCATTCGTAAAGTCTCAGTCAGCTTAAAAAACGAGACCGTCGCAAGCCTGACAACTTCGTATGACCCAAAACAAGCTGAACGCTGTTTCAGTAGGTGTAGCCCTAGCGGAATTTTCCCGACCTTCCTACAGCTATTCCCAGTTTCCAGAAAATTTCCGGTTTCACCCAAAAACTTTACATCGAGCGAGGAGAGGAGGATTTTCGCGGTTTGGAGAATTTTTTCCGTAGGCGTACGATCCACCCCAAATTTTTCTTGAGGGCGTCCGATCCACCCAACTTGGTATTCTTCCAGCGACGCTGTACTCTGACCTGGTGGTGTTTACATTACAACAACTTGTTTACGATTGAGCGATGTTTGTGCTTAATGTTTTCGTTGGATTTTAATACAGTGCGTAACAAAAGTATGTGGACACCTCAAATTTTTGTCCTGCAAAATTGCCTTTGAATTTTGCGATATGAGACCTTTATTGTTGAATTCCTCATAAGCGAAAACATAGGAATACACTACTTCTGAGCACTTTGTGAACTACTGTACAATTATTTATTGTTTTGAAAAAGTTTCTTAATAACAAAAGTATGTGGACACCTGAGGAAGTCCAAAGTTTGGCTCCAGATCTGCAATCCATTTTTATGGTCTCTAGTCCCCATTAACCTGTACTCATGCCTCGTCGTGGTAGTCCTCTCCTACGAAGACGAACAAGCTCGGATTCGAGCTTTCAGTGCTGCAGGACACTCGAATAGAGAAATTGCAAGACAGCTTGGACTTTCGGCGACGTGCGTTGGTATATACCTCCAGAATCCTGATGGCTACCACTCAGTACCTGTTTCGAGGCACCCACGATCTTTGTCCGCAAAAGACATCAGAAGAATGGCCTCAAACTCCCCGCTTTCTGTGGCACAGATCCATGCCGCGATGAATCTACCGGTCTCAAAAATGACAATATGGCGCTCTATTCGATCAAGTGAGCACATCACTCGAGAGACCATGAAGAAAGCTCCCTGACTGCCAAGCACCAGCTGGCAAGACTGAACTTTGCGCGTGCAAACATGGCGACGTCGTGGGACAAGGTGCAGTTTCTTGAGATATTTGTAAAATCAGAAAGGCAACATCTTATGCGCATTTCTTTCTTAGGTTATCTGATAAGAAAAAGTCAATCTCGACGGTCCAGATGGATATCAGCATTACTGGAAAGACCTTTGTAGCGATCCGTTGGTGTTCTCGAGACGAAATTTCGGAGGCGCCTCTTTGATGGTACGGGGTGGTTTTGGAAGCAGAGGAAAGTTGGAGCTTGCCTTCCCATCGTGCTGTATGAACAGTGAGGAATACCAAGGAGTGCTTGAGTCTAACCTCTTGCCTTTTCTGAGCGGGCCACGACGCAGGACACATGTGATGCAGCAGGACAACGCCGCCGTGCATGTTTCAAATTCTACTAGAAAATGGCTCCAACGCAATGGTATCAAAGTGATTGATTGGCCGGCGTGTTCTCCTGACTGCAACCCAACCGAAATCCTGTGGGGATCATGGTTCGACGAATCTACATGAACAGTGGCAGTACAACAGCGTGCGAGACTTGAAGGAGGCGGTAGTTGCTGCATGGGAGGAAATCGACGAAGACACCATGACAAATCTTGTCCACAGCATGCCAGACAGAATGTTCGAAGTAATAGTGAACACTGGAGGAAGAACCAACTTCTATTTTCCACGATACATTTGTTTTTTGTTAAGTGTCCACATACTTTTGTTATTAAGAAACTTTTTCAAAACAATAAATAATTGTACAGTAGTTCACAAAGTGCTCAGAAGTAGTGTATTCCTATGTTTTCGCTTATGAGGAATTCAACAATAAGGTCTCATATCGCAAAATTCAAAGGCAATTTTGCAGGACAAAAATTTGAGGTGTCCACATACTTTTGTTACGCACTGTATATAGTTGAATGGTTTCTAACTATGGTTCATTTCACACACGAACAAGAGACACCCTAGTAATAACTAGCTCTTTTCTCAGGTATTCGAAGGTGTGAAGATTACGACGGATGAAAAAGTCGTTGTAAAAATACTGAAAGTAAGAGTAATTTCCGTATAAATTGTGAGAAATATTCGTTTTCGTAATCTGTCTTCTTGCAGCCTGTAAAAAAGAAAAAGATCAAGCGTGAAATCAAAATCCTTGAAAATCTTCGTGGTGGAACCAATGTCATCACTTTATTGGATGTGGTAAAAGATCCTATATCGCGCACACCGGCATTGATCTTTGAGTACGTTAATGTTTGTTCTCTGCTATTAGAATACGTACTAATTCAAAGACTTTTTAGTATTTTGTGGAACAGTTCATCTACACTCTTTACCCGAGATCTGGGAAGGGCGTGGCTGCGTCCTTTATTTGAACACAGCGCGGGATACGTTCTTGGTGCGATGTTTTCGTTTTAAACAAAGCCATTTATCTGTTCTTGGACTAAAACATGTCTACAGTTCTCCCAAAACTAGATAGAAGATCCCAGGAGAATCGCGAGTGCTGCCAGCTTCGAATGAAGTACACAGCCACGCCCACTCCACCTCTGGGATATGCA